ATTGTAATTTTCCCCATGCGTCGGAAGAAAGATTCGATCCGTCGATGCCTCCTTTTGGTATTCAGATGGAAAGAAAGTCACTGTTGGAACGACGAGAGAATAACAATTATTTTGGCCATGTGCCGTCTCGATATCCATAGTTTATGCATATTTGTATATAATCAAACGAAAAAAAGGTTCAAACGATCAAAATGATAGAAAGGCTTGCGCCTATTTAAAATCATTCTGAGTGATTTGACGATTCCATTCATCTGAAACGAAGAAGAAAGCTTGTATTTGAAAATCCGATATACACCTGAAAAATAGTCTTGATATTCTTTTTAGAGGTCTTTGGTCTCTACGACCACCCCTTGCATAAATCAACCCCAAACAATTGAGGCAGAGAAAGCTGACGTTATTAATGAACAACGGGTTATAACGAAGAGCCGAGGCGAAAGAATTGATTTCTGATTGAAAAGAAATTACGTTCAAAGCTTCGGATGCGTCGATCATATTCAGACTCTCTGTTCCTGGAGGTTGCCTTCCCATTAGATAATCGGAGTTTGCCGAGGCGCCTCTTCGTTGCGCAACGTCTCAAGAAGAAGAAACGACTCCATTGTAGTATGATTGATAGACTCCGGAGCATGATCAAACAAAGGTTGCATCATCCCCACTCGTCCTGAAAAATCATTTAAGTAAACGGAAAAGGTTCTAGGTCAGATGACCAAATTAACATAGCCAAAAGCCATCCGATTATAGTTGAACAAAACATTTGAGAAACTCCATAGGTTTTTCCGAAAATATGGCATTCACGTAAATTTTGATTTCTTTATGGAAGACATGTTCTAAAAAGAACATCATAAAAAAGTTAGCTTCGTTATCAAGTTTCTAATAAAAATAGAAAAGACACAAGTACCCGAAATATATTCTTTCTCTGAGGATAGATAATATATATATCTATATATATTAGATGATTTATGCCGTTTCATAAATGACAGGTTCAATTATGTTAGCTACAATACCAGCATAAACACATTAGCTTAGTCATATTTCAAAAAATATGATTAAATCAAATCGACAACCACGAATTACAATTGTAATTAAATTATTAGTAGAATGTCAGTTTTAGATAATAACTTCGCGGCAAAGGAAGTATTTGTTGCTTATAATGAAAGTTAATGGACTTAAATATCGTTCGGAAGAAAATTTCCTCAATTATTTAAACGCCTTTTAATTTGTTCGTTTCAACTTATTATCCTTGACAACGGGATAATTTTTAAAATGAAAGGTGCGAAGTATCGGGTTCTGATTAATTACGAACGATTAATTTGAAATTTCTCTTTAAAAAAAGAAAAAAAAGAGCAATTGTGGTATTTGAACATTTCGATTTTCTCAAACTGACCAAAAGCCCAGCTGTTTTAAGCATATTTCTAAAAAAATTTAGTTCATTGTTTCTTCAATTTTTTAATTTTTCCATCTACTGTCTGTTAAGGAATTCACTCTTGTGTAATAAACGTCTTATAGTGTTTCATCTTTATATAATTTTATTTTCAACAATTACTTTTTAAACAATTATGTTAGTTATAATTTACAACGTGTGTATGCTCTTCACAAGCATCCTTGTCAATGTTCCCAGTGTATTTCTACAGACTTTTCTATTTTTTTTTTTTTCATTTTAAAGTTTTAAATGTATCAACCACCTTTTTACTCATGAATAAACTTGAATGGTATGGTCTGAATGAAAAAACAATTGTTTTACGAATTTTTGATAATGACCTTTAAAAAACTCGAAAGCTTGATAGTAACAATTAAGCATAGCTTTTCATTCAGTCCATACCGAGATCCAGGTTACTTTTTCAATTTACTTATTGGTTCTACTATTTATTAGTTAAGGAAATATTCGGGTTAAAAAAAAGGCCTCGTCTGTGAATTTTTCAAAAGCATTTTCAAGAAGTGTCTCCAGTGTATTTCTACAAATTTTTATATCATTATTTTTTAAATATACTTATTGGTTCTACTATTTATTAGCTGAGGAATATGATATAATTTTCTAGTAGCTGAAAATTAATTTTTTTTTCAAACGCATTCCCATCAGATGTTCACATGTTATTACTACAAATTGTTTGTTATTATTTTTCAATTATCAATTTTTTTTCTAGTATTGATTTCTTTCAGAAACATGTAAGTTATATTAAGAATCTTGTAAATAGATGGTTCACACTGTATTTCTATCGAATTTTTTGGTCGTTATTTTTTCAATTTACTTATTTTTTTCTAAATTTGATTTTGTTATTAATTATTTGGATTATAAATAAGAGTAATAGGTTGATTCTTTAAAGCATCCTCAACAAATTTTCACAGTGTATTTTTAAAAATAATTAGGTCATTATTTTTTCAATTTATATAGTATTTTTTTATTTTTCCCAACTATTGTTTGTATTTCGTATTTTTACAATTATTGTTTGTTAAGGAAGTGCATATGAAGGTTATAAAATAATCGTTACCGTTAATAGTGTATCGTTTGAACACATCCCCATGAGGATATAGTGTTTTTTAATTTAGTTATTTTCCTTGATTTCAGTAAGAATTATGTGGGTAATAAAATAAGAGTCTAAGTTGATTCTTTAATTTAATGCACATCAATAGTTCACATTTTATTTTTAAAGATTTTTTGATAAATAATTTTTCATGTTTTCTCATTATTTTTCTTATAGCTCAAGTGTGATTATAAAAACAGCAGCTTATTGGCCGAGGGTCGTGGGTTCGAATCCCGCTCGTGACACTGACTTTTTTACCTCAACCAATGCGCAACATAAAGATTAATCAATTGAAAAATGTTATTCGGTCAATCGGACCACAAACTATAATGAATTTTTCTTATTGTTGAGCTGTTTCTGAATTACACGGATTATGAAATAATTGTTTAGTAGGTGAATTCTCCAAACGTATTCTCATCAGATGTTCACATGATATTTCTAAAACCAATTTCATGATTTTTTCAATTTTCTTATTTTTCCAATTACTGTTTTTTAAGGAAGGTTATAAACTAATAGTGTAATGAGTTGGTCGTTTGAAAACATCCTCATCAGGCTACATAGAATATTTCTAAAGAATTTTACGTCGTTGTTTTTCTTACTTTTGATTCCAGTAAGAATTATGTGGGTTATAAAATGAGAGTCTAGTAAGTTGATTATTTAATTATATGCGCATCAATAGTTCACAGCGTATGTTTAAAAATAAATATTTTTTCAATTTACATATTTTGCTTATTGTTGAATTATTTGGGAATTACGCTGATTATGAAATAATTGTTTATTAGGTGAATTCTTCAAACGCATTCTCATCAGATGTTCACATGGCATTTCTAAAAAAAAGTTTTGGCATTATTTTTTCAACTTACGTACTTTTACTACTAGTGTTTTTTGAGGAATTCAATTTACCTTTTTTCAAAAGAATTGACCTTTTTTTTATGAATTATGAGGGTCTACTGAGTTCATTCTTTAAATACAACCGCATTAATTGTTCGCAGTATATTTCTAAGTAATTTTCGATCTTATTGTTTCAATTTACAGATTGTTCGTATTTTACGTTTTACGTTATATACGTTTAGAAGTTACGTGGATTATGAAATAATTACTTCTGGGTAAATTCTTCAAAAGCATTCTGGTGGTATTTTTAAAGATTTTTTTTTGTGATTATTTTTTCAATTTTCTTATTTTTCCAACTATTGTTTGTTAAGGACTGTTCCAACTAATGTTTACGTCGTTGTTTTTTTAACTTAGTCGTTTTTCTTACTTTTGATTCCAGTATTTTTTCAATTTACATATTTTTCTTCTTGTTGAGTTGTTTGGGATTATTCTTATTGTTATGCTGATCATGAAATAATTGTCTAGTAGGCGAATTCTACAAACGCATTTTCATCAGATGTTCACATGATATTTCTAAAAAAAAATTTTTTTGACATTATTTTTTCAACTTACGTACTTTTACGACCAGTGTTTTTTGGTTGAATTCAATTTATCTTTTTTCAAAACAATTGAACTTTTTTTTAGGAATTATGAGGGTCTACTAGGTTCATTCTTTAAATACATCCGCATTACTTGTTTGCAGTATATTTCTAAAGAATTTTAGCTCTTATTTCAATTTATAGATTGTTCATAATTATTAATACGTTTAGGAGTTCTGCGGATTATGAAATAATTATCTTGTGGGTAAATTCTTCAAACGCACGCTGGTGGTATTTTTAAAGATTTTTTGATTATTTGTTCAATTTACGTATGTTTACCACTATTATTATTACAGTTAGTTTGAGGAAGTGTGTAAGCTGTAAAATAAGTGTGAAATATGTTGATTAGTCATACGCATTCTCATCAGGTTTTCACGTTGTGTTTTGAAAGATTTTTAGGTCGTTATTTTTCAATTAGCTTTTTTCAAAACTATTGATTTTTTAAGGAATTATGGGGGTCTACTAGGTTCATTCTTTAACTACATCCGCATTAATTGTTTGCAGTATATTTCTAAGGAATTTTCGATCTTATTATTTCAATTTACAGATTGTTCATAATTATTAATACGTTTAGGAGTTTTGTGGATTATGAAATAATTATCTTGTGGGTAAATTCTTCAAACGCATGCTGGTGGTATTTTTAAAAAAAATTTTATGATTATTTTTTCAATTTACGTATGTTTACTACTAGTTCGTTTGAGGAAGTGTGTAAGTTGTAAAATAAGTGTCTAATATGTTGATTCTTCTGCATTATCATCAGGTGTTCATTGTGTATTTCTATAGAAATTGAAATTCTATAGATTCCAAAGAGTCGGATTTATTGTACAGAACAGTCTTGAGAATAAGGTATAAAATTTCCTTTTCGATACGGAAAATTGCCAATATATTACACGTGGGAAAGCGTAAGGTGGGAACCCACTCCTTGTCTTTTGGGTCCGCTTCGCCGGGCGGGAGGAACATTAATTAAGACGGTGAGAAAAATTACGTGGGGGGGAAACCAGCGGGGTTTAGCCCAGCTCCCGGTAGCCCAGTGTCCCTCGAGACAAGTGCCCAGACATGTTCTTCAGGAGGACCATGTCCGTCGCAGGCGAAGAGGACGAAGGAGCTTCGACGACGGCCAGCGCCGAAGCCCTCGCCCCTGGCCCTGCGAGAGCACCGGCGAGATTCCACTATCTTACAGACCAACCACTCGAAATAACCAGCTCACTCAAAGGATACAATTTTAATTACCCGGTAGGATTTTAAACGACATCAATCATTTATTTTAAAAAATTATACCTCTTTTATTTTGATCACTGTAATTACTTTTAATTTTACTCTAAACTTCTCTTTAAACAACGTCTTACGTTTTATTTAATTATACAAGACCTTATACATTGCTTACAGCATTGCATACAGCAAAAAGAATTAACCCAGGTCAAATAGATTGCCACAAATGGCAAATTTTTGTCAGACATGCTTTTTTTTCAATAGTTGCAGTTTTGCATAACTATTACAAACTAAGCACAACTGACAAAGAAATACCAAAAAGTACTTTAATACTGACAGCTTTCGGTAAAAAGTTGTCGTGATCAACACAATAAAGTCTATTATACAATCATCAATGGCGAATTATGTTTGTCGTGTTATTTTTTAAAATATTTGTACATAAGATATTGACTAATACTTTGTCAATTTGTCTCAATGTTTCCAAATTCGACTAATTTGGTTTTTAATTGATTTAACTGACCTTTTAAGAGCTCATGAATATGTAAAATGGTAACTGGACGTTACATGAGTATAGATCGACCAAAGGCCACGTGGTTACTAAAAATTTAAATTTTTTAATAAATTTGGCGATCAAAATCAAACAGAATTTATTTATGCAAAAATATGAAAAATGGGTAAAATAATTATTTTTTTAATCGTCCATACAGAATTGCTAAGATCTTAAGAGGAAGAGGACAATATTATACATCTTTATTTCACTTGTAAACATATAAGCATTTCAAAATTGGATACTTTCGAATATTAAAAAATAAAGTTTCAAATGTATAATTTATGATAATTAAGTTTGGAGAATCGACACGTGGTGTCCTTTGACCCAGCGATTCATGTACACATAACAAAGCATTCTTTTTCTTTCAAAAGCTTTTTCATACATGCCATTTACATCAAATATGTAATTATCAAATTTAAACAAAGGAAACATCGAAAGATAGTTCAAATCAAATTCCATTTAAAAACTGTATTTTATTATCTTTAATAATCGATATATTCTAACGTTGGTTTTCCTCCTATATGTTATTTTCCTACTATTTTTTTTTATTAACCCTTTCTTGCCCAAGGCTGCTTCAGAGGAATACCATCTTTAGCAATTTTTCTTAAAGTTACCAGGAAATCACGCGAGTATAGGGCGTGGGCAGTGTTTTACCTTCCATGTTTCATCCCGCGTATTGGCAACACTGATTTTTTTGGCGCCCAATCTAAAACCTCTATCTTGGAATCTTCAACCGGCTCTGCAACCCATTACTGCATGTTCTATCGATTGGTATATTTGCCAAACATAAAAGTTTTATGTACAGTTTAAAATTTAACACTTTTTTGCTCAAGGCAGATTCCGATTAATACTAAATTTAGCAATTTTCTGAAAGTTAGGAGGAAATCAGGTGAGTTTAGGACGGGGGCAGTGTTTTACCTTCAACGTTTCATCCCGTGTATTGGCAACACTGATTTTTTTGGCGCCCAATCTAAAATCTCCATCTTGGAATCTTTAACTGGCTCTGCAACCCATTACTGCATGTTGTATCGATTGTTATATTTGCCAAACATAAAAGTTTTATATTTAAAATTTAACTCTTTCTTGGTCAAGCCTGCTTCAGATGATGTATCGATTGTTGTATTCGCCAAACATAAAAGTTTTATATACAATTTAAAATTTAACTCTTTCTTGCTCAAGGCTGCTTCAGAGGAATACCAACTTTAGCAATTTTGCAGAAAGTTAGCAGGAAATCACGCGAGTTTAGTGCAGGGGCAGTGTTATACCTTCAACGTTTCATCACGTGTATTGGCAACACTGATTTTTTAGGCATCCACTCTAAAATCTCCATCTTGGAATCTTCAACTGGCTCTGCAACCCATTACTGCATGTTGTATCGATTGGTATATTTGCCAAACATAAAAGTTTTATATACAATTTAAAATTTAACCCTTTCTTGCTCAAGGCTGCTTCAGAGGAATACCAACTTTAGCAATTTTCCTTAAAGTTAGCAGGAAATCACGGGAATTTAGGACTGGCAGTGTTTTACCTTCAACGTTTCATCCCGTGAATTAGCAATACTGATTTTTTTGGCGACCAATCTCAAATCTCAATCTCGGAATCTTCAATCTCCAACTGGCTCTTCAATCAGTTGGAGATGAGTAGTGACTCCATCTTGTATCGATTGTTATATTGCCAAATATAAATTTTTTTATGTAAAGTTTAAAATTTAACTCTGTTTTGGTCAAGGCCGTTTCAAAGCAATACCAACTTTAGCAATTTTGTTTAAAGTCCGCTGGAATTCCCGCGAGTTTAGGGCTGGGTCAGTGCCCGTGTGTTGGCAACACTGATTCATTTGCCGTCAAAGTAAACTCTCTGTCACTAAGCTCACGGGATTTACTGCTAACATTAAAAAAAGCTAAAGTTCATGGTGCTCTAAGACAACATTAAGCCTTAAAGTGTTAAAAATCACTTTTTTATCACTCTCCTCGATCATTAGGAACCACCATCATCTCGGACGATAATAATTCACGATTTACCTTATGAAGCTTATAAGTGTCATAATATCTCAATTCTCCCCGTTTTATGCCGATTACCAAAGTAAATTGCCCATTAAATTAGCTTTAGATGATGGCCAAACCGGAAACGAATACATCCGCATGCGTGAGCTTCAACCTTTACATCGGAGAAGATTTTTATATTACAGTCAACATGCAATTTATTGCGGGCTTAATTATAAAATATCGCCTCGTTATTTTTTACAACTTGGATCGATTCGGTGGTTTATTTCATGGAACCTTAAACATACGGCTCGTAAGTGTTCTATTTACAAAAACACCCCTTAAAAAGATTTCAACGCCGAATAAGAAAGGTCGGATGTCAAGTTATTGAATTGATTCAACTCAAATCAATTTGCATAATAATTATTTATATATTAGTATTATTAAAAAATTAAGTGTTCAAAAATTCCAAAATAGTATGCTTTCAAAAATGATTTATTAGCTAAGTTAGCTACAAAAATAAGTTAGTTCTACGTTCTCAGAAATTACTTTGATCTCAAATCTCTTTTCACATTATATTATATATCATTCATTTATTCTAAATAAAATTCAAGATGAGAAAATCTTCATTAAGTCAAAATTTGCACTGAAAAACTGAAGCATATATATGTAACCTGACTGTAACCTTTACTCCTAAAAAACCATGAAATAGTGTTAATAATGGATTAAAAAATTGTTTGGCAAGTTTTTGAACCTAGTCCAGTCAATTACAGTGATAACCAAAATAGTGCAACGTGTGTAGTTGGCGTTTTCTATATACGTTTGATCAAAATATTTGTACGATTATTTATAAATTTGAAAATTATTCCTGATATTGTTAGTTATCAGCCTTCAGAAATTTCAATTTTATGATAAAAGACAATCAAAGTTGATGCCATTTAAAAAGTGAAACACTAAATTTCTTTACACTTTTCCAGGAATATATTCTTTTCATGAAGACAATTTTTAATTTTTTTAATTTAAGCAAATTTTTAACCTAGTCCAGGTAATCACAGTGAGTAAGAAAACACTGCAACGTGTGAACATTGAGTTTACCATATAATTTTGTTCTACTCAGTAATATTTTTTATGAATATGTACAAATTATTCTTTTTATGTAAGGTCTTGGTTGAGATAAAAAAAAAGTCAGTGTCACGAGTGGGATTCGAACCCACGACCTTCGGCTAAATACGCCGCTCTACCACATGAGCTACTGTGACTGGTGTGAGCGGCGTATTTAGCCGAAGGTCGTGGGTTCGAATCCCGCTCGTGACACTGACTTTTTTATCTCAACCAAGGCTTACATAAAAATAATAATTAGTTGAAAGAAGTAACTTGGTCAATTGACCACTAAAACGTAAATGAATATGTACAAACTTGGAAATTATGCAAAAAATTAAAGATATCGTTCAACTTGTAACAATATAAATTCTTATGATCATGGATGATGCCAGTTAAAAATAAAAACTCTCAGATCATTCGGCGACCTTCCGAGGATATATCCCCTTCATCAGGACAATGGACTTTCAGTTATTAATTTAAAATATTAAACAATCATACTTTGCACTTGTATACTTTATGTGTAACACGTCCATATCACTATTTTTAAATTTAACCTAACCTGTCCTAACACTAACCTAACCTAACCTGCAAATTCCTGCCATAACCTTACCCATTTGCACTCCCCGGTAAACACACTGGGTAAAAAAACACTTGGCCAATTTTTAATCCCAATCCGGCAAATTACAGTAATAAAATATTTCCACGTGAAATTATCTACTATATTAATATTGTTCAGCCGTCTATAATATAATTTTAAACTAAAAGACGATCAGAGATGATGCCAATTAAAAAGAAAAATAGTTTCTTTGGTGACTTTTGAGGAAATATATTCCCCTTCATCGCGATTTTCAATTATTAACTTAAAATGTTAAAAACTAGCGCTACGTACTTGTATATTTTTTCCACTTTACCAAAAAAAAATACATTCATGGATATGTAACCTTACCCGCCCTAACACTAACTCTTACTTTAAAGCTAACCTCACCTAACCCAACCCTTGCGCAATCTAACGTGCAAAATCCACATCCATGTGTAAACAGCCCAGTTTTAACGAGAAAAATAAAGATTTTGATATTGGTTCTTTTACAGATCATTAAATGATTAATTTTGACTTTTTTGACTACATTCACTAATTTTTCAAAGCTAGGTGTTGGAATTTTTATGGGATTTCATCGTCAAGCATTCGATCGGTTATTTCACCAGGATATTGAAACTATTATTAATATTTCACAAAGTTAACTAGTATAAGCATGTGCTTACAATACTGAAACCATGTTTTTTTATTATTTTACTTTTTGTATTGTTTCACGCTTGCCAGGTTACGGAAGCTGTTGCAATAGTTAGTAGTGTGCATGTGAAAAATAAGAATGACTTTCACCCCGCTCCAGAGTACG